CCAACAGCTGGAGCCAACTCATGCCAAAGTATGATGACGAGATCAGACAGCCATGCACTATAACATAAACTACAATTTAAAAGATAAAAGCATATATCAACAAGCAAAAATTTCAAAGGTTCAAAAAAGTAGGATATAACCTCCGTTGTATTCTCCTTAGGCTCAATATGTGCTCTCAATAACTACAATAAAAATTTGAAGAAAATAAGTATTTTTTATCTTACTCTAGATTTACAAATTGTCTTAGACCTTAAAAAGAACACAAACTTTTGCCATAAAATATCATGACACTTATAAACTCACAGTGTTATATTCAGAAGTTTGATTTACCGTCCCATTGTCCGATACCGAAGCCCTAGGTGAGGAGCCTTCCTCTGATCCCTCTCGCACTGGAGAAGGTGGCCGTGGAGGTGGAACATAGGCAACTCTTAACTTGCTTTCTTCAACACGATTCCCTGATTCTTTGCTGAACTGCAAACCAAATAGCAAGTGTAAACCTAACCCTTTTTTACTTGATAAAAACCAAATAGCACATGTAAACCTTACCATTTTTTACTAGATATTTAATTACTCAATTATTTCATCCTGCAGTAAATGCTATATAACTATTGTAGTACTATGTAATTACCATTTCGGGAGTAATGTCCTTCGTTGTCGTTCCCGGGCTAACAACTGCAGCCTGGAGGAGGAATTTATCCTTGCATTGCATGTCTTCTGGAGCCTCCTTTTGTGCTTGCATTGTGACTAGATAAAGACAGTAACTTAACAATTAAAATATAAATACAATACACACCAAACCAACAAACCCAGTAGATAAAATGTGTCTTTTTTTCCAAAATAATTATAGTTCAGAAAAAAATGAAGATTAAGAGTAGACAGGGATATAATCCTAGAAAAAAATGCCAAAAAGATGAAGGTGACAGAGAAAAAAATAAAGACCTATAACATCACAAGTGGAGTGAGGCAACACCACTCCAGTATTCGGCCGCACACAATACTTCTTCGGATTCGTGGTCTTCACCTGATAATTCAAATAAATAAATAAAATAAGAGAGTTTGCCACTCTCCTTGTGTACAAGTAAGTGGATGCTCACACGTGTGGATTCGAGTACATATATAAGTGTGTGCATTATCGAATGAATAAAGTTTATACCTTGAAGGCTACATAACTGTCGGCTCTGTTTGTTAGTTGCAGGGAACATGAAATCTGCTTCTTCAATTCAACTTTTCCAATATACAGAACAAACAAGTTTAATTAAAAACACCAAAATCAGGGGAAAAAACTAAAACGCGGATCTGGGAAAACAGAATCAAATTAAAGCACCTAAAAAAAGATTCTTCTAGAAGTTCGCATCAACAAAAGTAAATAAACAAAAATACACTGCTGTTCCACGGAGAGAGGGAGAAAGAGTTACATGGGAATTCAAGTTCTTGGGGTTCGATGCGGAGAAGCTCGCCGTTACTCATTTCTTACCAGATCGCCCAATTATTCGCCGGAAAATTGTTTATAGGGAAGTTTCCGGAAAAAAAAAATTGAGCGTCTTCCGGTGCGGC